GGAAGGGAGGAGTAAGATCTAGGCGGATGGATAACATAAAGGGAAACGGCCTTTTGGAGTTGCTGCTTGACTTGATGGGCACTGGGCTGGCTTTGCAGCCGGTGGAGACAAGCCTGAGCACAGCCAGGGAAGGCTGATTTAGTGGTGTGGTACCGTGGAGAGACCAGGGGTCTGGGGGCTTGGAGCGGGGACACAGGACCCACCCACGTTTGGCAACTCACACGTGTCAAGGTTCACGGATACCCTTTCATACTAGTGAGCAAATGACTTGTTTAACACTGTGCGTGCATGAGAACCCCTGAGGGGCCATGGGAACCAGACACACATGATATACAGTCTGCACCCAGGAACTTGATCTTGCTGGAGAGATGTGAAGGAAAGAACGGGTAGCTAAAGGCAGCTGAGCGCTGTGTCCCTGGCACCATTATGAGAATGTGTGCGTTTGCTCGCGGAACCCTCATGGCAGCCTTCTGTAGGGTAGGTACTATTGTCATGCCCGTTGTGCAAGTAAGGAAACTGAGGCACAGAAAAGTGATGTAATCACTCATTAGTGGTGGGTCCAGGTCACTCAGCCCCCTTGATATCACTCAGCCCCTGAGGCAGTGGTTCTCGGCCGAGGATCTTGACACACACCTCCTTCCTCAGGAGAAGCTTGGCAGGGTCTGGAGACAGTTTAGGTTGAGAGAACTGGGAGAAGGAGATGCTGTAGCATCTCGTGGGTAGAGGTGCAGGATGGTGCCAGACACCCAGCCCCATGCGGAGAATGAGCCCAAGTGCAAAGGCTGAGAAAGCCTGTCTTGGGAGTGCAGGGGTTCAGAGGTGGGGGAAGGGATCCATTCAGAGAGAGGGAGGTGGGTGAGGGAGCATGGGGAGTGGATCTGGGCCTGGAAACGTTTGGGGAAGAGGAGCCAGAAGAGGGAGAGAATACGGAGGAGAAGCTTCCTGAGGCTTCCTGCCCGTGCCCGTGCCCGTTACGCACCTGCCAGGCGGCGCCCACCTTCATTCCCTCCCTCCCTCCTCGCAACAGCCAGCCCCCCTCCCTCATGGGCACCTGGTTCACAGACAAGCCATCAGAGACCCCCAGGGTGCAGATGACCTGCCCAGGTTTCTCCTGCAGACAGCTGCATCCAGATGTAAGAAGGCAGACCAGATGAGGGAGGCTGAGACCCCAAGGCCAGTGCCAGGCACAGGGGCCCCACAAGGACTCGTCTTCTCTCTCTCATCAAGATAGACACAAAGCTTGCTCCGCGAGCAATCAGAGCACCCTGGAAGCAATTTCTTACGGGGAGAAGGTTTGTTTGCACCGGGAGCTGATCTTTGATGTCTATAAATGGAGTCTGTGGAATCAATTCAAAGGCCACATGGTATTACTGCTGAAGAGGCAGAGCAAGAAAACCAGTGCCTCCAGGGCCGCCTTCAGCAGACGAGGACATAGCCGGCAGGTCCAGCCAGGACACAGCCTACCGTCCTCGGTGCCCTGAGATGTGCTGCTTTGTCAAGCAGAGAGATGCGAGTGGTCCATCCTGCCTGGGACGAGAATTTTACCACTGACCTCAGCTAGGATTGCCAGCACCAAATGCAGACTTTCTGTGGGTTGTCATATTGTTTTAAAATTCCCTAGACAGGGGCGCCTGGGTGGCTCAGTCAGTTAAGCATCTGACTTTGGCTCAGGTCATGATCTCAGGGTTTGTGAGTTCGAGCCCTGCTTTGGGGAAGCCCTGCTTCTCTCTCCCT